GGAGGGTTCAGAAACGCCTGGACAGAGGGTTTCTCACCCTGGAGGGCTGACAGACAAGCCACACAATATATTAAGGAGCAGAGAAGTGTGGCAGCTGCCTGTACCTTTGTAGTCAGAACGGCCCTTAAACACTGACTGGAGTGTCTGTAAGACACAGATCACCCCAGCCACGCGTGATGTGCAGGGCACAGACCCACACGGTGCTGCCAAGTGGCATGCCAGTGGCATGGGGACAGGGAAGTGGGGACAAGGCAGCCTGGTCAAACCTGCAGCACAGGACCCCCTGCTCATGTGCCACATGACGAAACAAATGAGCCCTCGGAGCTCAGGACGGTGGTGAAGGCAACATGGACAGCTGGAGGATGGAGGGTGTGAGGGCATCCAAAGGGTTGTCTGGCAGGCAGGAGCTGGACACAAGGAAAGAGGGTGTCACCACCTATGGGGGACACTGGGGTACCTGTCAACACTGGAAGACCACCAGGAAGGCTCAGGGCAGATCCAGCTGGTGGAGAGTGACACAAGGAGAGTCGATATTGCTTTCTGACAGCCACAGAGTTGCAGAGCTGGAGAATGGTTTGGAATGGAAAGGACTTTAAAGTTCATCTTGTTCCAACCCCCTGCCATGGGCAGGGACACCTTCCACTAGACCAGGTTGCTCCAAGCCCCGTCCAACCTGGCCTTGGACACTTCCAGGGATGGGGCAGCCACAGCTTCTCTGGGCAACCTCTGCCAGGGCCTCCCCACCCTCTGAGTAAAGAAGGTGTCACCAATATCCTTGGACACCTCTCCCCAGCATCTCCCTTGTAAGGATCCTGCTGCTCCAAATGGAGCTGGAGCAGGAAGAGCCCTCCCAGCTCACAATGCCTCCACCTGAGCTGCATCCCAGGAGGTCTCAGCTCACCGAGGACATGGCTGCACAGCCAGGGCTGAGGGTGCTTTGTGGAAGGGGTCCCTCGGGGGGGAGGAGGCAAGCTCTTTTTTAGGGCAGCTCTGTTCCAAGTGCTTGATCGAGGCAGAACCACTGCATAAATGCCCCAAGGATGCTCTAAGCATAGCCCATGTCACTCCCATGTCACTCCCAGAAGGTCTGGAGCTCAGTTGAAAGAGTTCTACCTCCATCAGCAAGCCCAGGGCAGCAGGAGGGCCAGCCAAACCTATTCAGCATAAGCAGCCCTCGTTAAAAGCAAAATTTTGCTGTCGCTCAGCAAATCACTTGCAAGAGACCCCTGCCGAGAGGCAGATGAGCACAATGTTCATCCCTGCTCCTGCTCATGGGTTTACACCAGCTCCATGCTGGTTACTGCTTGGGTACAGCTATCACAGAGTCAGAGGATATCCTGAGTTGGAAGGGACCTCAAAGGTCATTGAGTCCAACTCCTGGCCCTGCACAGACACCCCAAGAGTACCACCCTGTCCCGCAGAGCGTTGTCCAAACCCTCCTGGAGCTCTGGCAGCCTTGGGGCTGTGCCCACTGCCCTGGGGAGCCTGTTCAGTGCCAACCACCCTCTGGGGGAAGAACCTTTTCCTGAGATCCAACCCAACCCTTGCCTGATGCAGCTCCAGCCATTCCCCCAGGTCCTGTCATTGGTCACAGAGAGCAGAGATGGTGCTGCCCCTGCACGGCCCCTCATGAGGAAGCTGCATTTGTTGGTTGGGAGCGAGGTGTGATGGTGGTGACGCAGCAGAAACCATGAAGCAAGGGGAGCTCTCACCTTGAGATGATGGCAAGGAACTGCTCACACCCTAAGCAGGGACAGGAGCTGCTCTCCAGCCCACAAAACAACGGTCCCACCCCTGGTGGCCTTGGCCCCTCTGGCTCTTCGTCTCTTTTGCCTTTCTGCCAAGTCAGGCAGTACTGACTCCCTTTCCTCTTACAGAGTGGAGATTATGAGATTGGCTTCTCCAAAGCCAGAACTATGTTACTCTCCTGGCTCCCATCACTTGCTGTGTTGCTGAGCAGATCCAACCTCAGGCTCTGCTCCGTGGCAATCTCCACCTTCTCAACACAAGGCCACCGCATTCTGCCCGGATGCTGCTGGCCTGAGCTCCTCCCGCTCCAGTGCCACGTGTCCTGGCTCCTCCTGGGCTTCACTGGTAGGTCCAAGACAGGGACCCCCCCCACCACTGTGCATCAGCCCTGGGGCCACCTTGCAAACCTTGCCCTGGCCACGGATGCAGCTTCTCTAATGCCCAGGATGCTCCGACTCTAATGCCTGGGATGCTCTGGAGAGTCTTTAAACCAGGAAAAAAACACCACGTGAGGCTGAAAAGAGACATTTTGGGGACTGAGGAATCACTCGAGGATGCTTCCCTGTGTGAATGAGCACTTCCCTGTCTCCGGAAGGTACGAAGGAGCAATTGGCAAGCCGGGGCTCAGCTTCCCTTCCACTGGATGCAAACAAGCCCTTAACATTTAAGCAAGTGCCTCTGCTTGTGGAGACACGCGGGGTGCCGAGTGCTCACTTCAGAGCTCCTCGTGACTCCCGCCCTCCGCGGGAAGGTCGGGGAGGGGGTGGCGGGGGGAGAACACCCAAAGGCACCGGGAACGTCCCCTCCGGGGTGCCCTCACCCCGCCACACAGCCCCGCCGCTGTGCTCCGGTTCCGCCGCTCCGGCTGCAATTAAAGTTCACCCTGAACGCTGCATTAATGTCAGGTTTGCATCTCATTTCCCCAGCGCCAGGTAAGGAGGGGCCGGCAGGCTTGGAGAAGGATCACACGTGGCAGCTTTTAATAGAAACCCGCCCGCCTGTCACCGCCGTCTCATCATTCCTCTTGAAACGTTTGCTAATTACCAACAAGCCGTGTTTGTATTTCGGGTGTGACGTTCCCCTCTGCAGCCCCGCTCCTCCTGGTCCTGGCCCCCACCCGAGCCGGCAGCAGCGCCTGGGGGGCTTTGGGGAAGGTGGGAATTGCAGGGTGGGCTCCAGAAGGGCTATAAAGACCCAGTTCCTTCTGGAGATGGACCCAGGGTGGGTGAAAAATGGCTCCTCCAGTTACTCTCTTCTCCCTTCCCATTTTCTGTGAAGGACAATTTCTTTGGAGATGTCCTCAGAGTTAAACATGATGAGTTAAAGCTTTTGGGATCACTCCTGCCACTCCTCCCATCCTGGTGGTGCTCTGCTGCACCAGGACACCCCTGCCACCAGCTCTGCCCCAGGATCAGCCTGTCCCACACATCTCCCCTTTGGAGCCTTACCATGGGCCATGCCCAAGCTCCGAGGACACTGTGACCTGAGTCACATGTCAACTGCTTTCATCTCCAGCTGCTTCCTGGGGACATCCCACCTTTTTCTCCTGTGGTCCAGGGGGCTGATGGGGCAGGGGTGAGATGGGGACCTGCTGCAGTGATGCACTGTGCGGACCAAGAGAGCCGGTCCTTGGGGCTCTGACCCCATGGGACTCCGTCTGCTTCACCTCTCACCCTTGTCTGGGACTCCTCCTGGGGCAGCAGGAGCCAAGGGGCTGAGGGGAGGCAGCAGAGAGGGGAAGGCAGGGTTGGGGAAGGGGCTGGAGCCTTGTTTCAGAGGATGTGCCAGGAAGGTACAATGCTGAGCCGCTCCTGCCCCTCTGTGACCCCACACACTGGGTCTCACACGCTGTCCCACACCTTGAGGCTAACCCAGGCCCCTCCTTGTGCCCCTTCTGATGTGGCAGCAAGTGCTTGAGCGTCACCACATTGCATTCAGAGCCTGGAGAGGAGCTGGAGAGGGGGGATATCTGCCTGGCCCAGTGCCAACTATTTGCAGTGCAGGGATGACACTTGGGACTCCCTGAATTTGGGAGACCCCTGCGAGGACTCCTCCTGGTCTATGCCAGCCCCTTCTTGTCCAGTGGTTCTCCAGTGCTCTGGGGGCTTGGGAATGCCCCTTTATCCCAGTGCAATCCACTTCCCTGCTCCCGCTGACACCAGGGGTGGTGTTGCAGCAGGAGAAGGACGGGAGCTACACGGGAGACCCTGGACTTTACCCACCCACCTCCTGAATGTCAAGGCAGCTGCAGTTTTCCATGGTTGGAAAGGGGCCAAGGCAGGTGCCTTGCTGGCTGGGAAGCCCACCCAGCACAAGGAGAGGCACCCAAGGCACCCACCCACTTCCTGGGGTCTGGCCAGCTCCTGCTGCCACCCGGGTGAGTGACAGCTCCCAGCCCCCCAGCCCACCTCCCCCCTTGTCAATCCACTGGGGAATTATTTATCCTGACAATAGCAATTGTCTGCACGGGCCCTTCCCCCTCCCCAGCACCTACCCCAACAAAGGAAATCATCCTGATATGAAAGGGAAAATTAAATTACCCCAATAAAGACTTAGTGCTGCTTTAATGACATCACCAGACTCAGGCGCTAATTAGCTGAGTACAAAGGAAGCTAAATGTGAAAACGTGAATTTCTGTTCCCTTTTCTCCTGTCGTATAGTCTTGGGAGTGGGAGTCTTGGCAGGCATGGCAGGAGGAGATGCTCCCACCCGGCTGGGCGGTTGCGTGCCAGGCTCTGGCAGCTGGGTGCTGCCACTGCTGAGGGGGAAGAGCTCATGGAGGTTTTGGGAGCCTGTTTAGATCCAGCCAGGGATCCATGAGCTCCCCACACTTGAACCCTGCTCTGTGCCATCCCTTTCCACTGCAGTCCGTGCTTCTCTCACTGAGTTCAGGCAACCACAAGCCTCGTTTGGTGTGAAGCCCTGCACAGCTCACACCCCCCTGCACTGCACACACACCTCACACCGTGTACAACTCACAGCTCAAGGTCTGTGTCCCCTTGCTCTGGGCCAGCATCCATGGCAGCATGTCCCCAGCCCCTGTCTGCAGGACCCTGGCACTGTGACAGTGCCAGCACCTCCGTCTGCACTGTGCCAGCCGCCCACCCTCCCCGCAGCCCACCAAGGCATCAGTTCTGTTTGCAGGTCCCAGGCTTGGCCACCTCCCCTGCCGTGTCCCCACCATGGCTGAAGTCCCCTGGCCCCCAGGGTTACCCTTGGACCCAGAATCCTCCCTTAAGGCATCCACTTACCAGTGCAGGTCTGCCGGTTTCCTTCCAGTCCCATCGGGATTGTGACAGCACCGAGCAGCGCAGCAGCCCCGAGGAGAGCTGGCAGCATCACAGAGCTGCTCAGCCTCGGGCTGGGGGGGGACCCCAAAGGACCAGGGGATGGCTGGCCACAGGGAGGGACAGCAAACACTCCAGGAGCAGTGAGCCCTGGCCCTGGGGCTGCCCACTGGGACCAGAGCACACCCAAACCCCCTCCTGGGCAAGGGGAGTGTGTGTGGGGGTTAATGTTGCATCCCCTCTTTGCCTCTGTGTTTGAGGTTGGTTTATCTACTTGGGAGTGCTGCTACATCTGACCCCACCCTGGATAATTCCTCCGGTGGGGGCCATGGGAATGCGGATGGGATTCCAGCAGCTACTCACAGGCACCAAGAGGCCAAACAGCAGCGCATCTGCGGGTCACAGAAAAAGGGATGGCTGCTAACACAGAAAGCTACATTTTAATTAAAATTGAAATTATCAAAAAATCCAGGATATTACTGCCTTCACCTTAAACCTCACTCCAGCTCCTTGGTCATCACCCCTCCCCAGTACAAGGGGCCACCCCAGAAAAATTGGTGGGGGTCACTTCTGCTCCTTGCAGGGTGTTCCCCATCCCCTGCTCAGGCCGGGCTGGCAGCAGCATCACTCTGCCCCATTGTCACCAGTTGCTCCCAGCTGTCCCTGAGGGAGGCCGGCCCCAGGGCACGCCCTGGGCAGGCAGCCCCGCCTGCAGTCTTGCTGCCGGGTCCCGTGTGAGGTGGCACCACTGGGGACCAGCCGACCCACCTGGGACTTGAGAGGGTGCTGGTCACCCCCCTCACCCGGGCTCACCTCCCGCTGCAGGGCTTCATCCGGGAGGGATGGGTGCGAATGCCTCTGTGCCTCCTTAAAATGACATAGTTAGTCTCCATGGCAACTTCTCTGCCTTTCGCCTCAGACCAGGAGCATCATCTGCTCCATCATCCCTGCAGGCCAGAGCCCAGCTTCCCTGGAAAAGGACCGATAGGGTTGCTGAGGCTGCCCACCCCATGCCACTACCCAGCTCTCCTGGCTCCCTGGTATCTGCTGGTGTCCAGCTGGTGGGGACCCAGCCGGCTGCAGCGTCCCAGTCCCCAGCTGCCTCCACCTGCTCCCAGTGCAGCCAGTGCCACAGGATGCCTGGCACAGCCACGGCACAGCCTGCCAGTGCTGTGGGAGCAGCAGGGCTGTGTCTGATGGATGGAGCTGGGACCACTGGTGGCCTGTGCCCGCCCAAAAAGCTTGGAAATCCACAGGAAAGCCCTTGCTCCATGTCTACGTCCTCCTGTGGGCAAGCTAGGAGAGCTGGGAGGCTGGTGAGCATTGCTGGTGCAGAGGGGGGCTGAGCCAGCGATACCAACCTGCCCATCAACCACTCATCTCCCTGCCGTGAAAATGAGAGGCCGGAGCTGAGCTGCAGAGAAATTGCCCAGCACTCCAGCAAATCCCACCACCCGCTGCCTGGTGTGGGGGGCCTGGCCTTGGCACACAGCACGGCCTCGCCCTTCCCTGGGCTGCCGGGCTGGCAGAGCTGTGGTGGCATCAGCCATGTCCAGCCCTCGGGAGTCAAGACCCCAGGGACCCCAGGGATGTGGGCTGCCAGCCTAGGGCGCTTTGGGCATGATTTTCCGTGGGGGTGAATTTCCATGTGGATGTGCACATAGGGAGGAGGGAGAGATGCTCACACACAGGTGCATAAGGGCTAAGAGGTGGCATGAGGGATGGAGGCACAGTGGAATAGAGGTGTGAGTGCACAGGGGGACACAAAGGGCTGCGGGGTGAACACAGGGGTGCAGGGGAGTTGGCAGGCAAAGATAGAGATGTGTGTGTGTGCTCTCACACAAGGGGGTGGAGAGCACGCGTGTGTGTATTCAGTGGGGGTGTGAATGTCTCCTAGTGCCACACTGTCCCCTCCAGACAGGTGTGTTGCCCTCAGACACCCTCCTGCCGGGGGGAGTTCCAGTGCCACCACAACTCTGCCTGTGCCCCACAGAGCCAACAGCACTCCTGGCTCCCCAGGGAGCTGCCTTCCTGCTCCTCATTGCTCCTTTGACAGGTGACTTTTCTTAATACCTGCACAGCATCTCCCCATGCTTGGTCTCATCCCATGTCTTCCAACGGCCTACCAGAGTGGCATGAACTACTCCCCTCCCAGCGTGTGCATCCCGACATGTGGATGTGTTTATTTATAGGGCTGCTGCAGAGCCCGCAGGCTGTGTGGGGCTCCCCTCCCTCCTGGGCTCCCTTCCCACTTCCCAGCCTGGGCACACGTGGGTGTCCATGGGGGTGCAAGTCATAGAACCCTGGAGTCATAGGTGGGAAGGGACCTCAAATCTCATCTCCTTCCAACTCCTGCCATGGGCCGGGGCGCCTTCCACTAGACCAGGTTGCCCCAAACCCCATCCAGCCTGGCCTTGGACACTTCCAGTAACTGAGTTGCAGAGGGAGTCTATAACCAGCGCTGGGATGGCTCTAGTGCTTTCTCCCAGCAGTGCCATCCTCATTCATCATCCTGTCCTTCTGCACCATGTTTCCAGCTTGCTTAGCCCTGTTGCAGCCTCCAGGCTTGACTGGGGGGGTTAAACATCCCTCTCTGGAGGGATGTATTCTGTGGTCTTCTCCTGCAGCCCCTCCTCAGGCCTCACTGAGATTTTTGGAGCACAACTGCTGCTCCCAACTTGTCCTAACAACCATGTCCATCTGGCTTCCTGCTCCAACAAGGAGCCTGCCTGTGCCCAGGGCTCAGGGGTGGGCTCAGCCAAGGACCCTGCTCTGTTTGCCTTCGGATTACAGGGAGACATGGAAAAGCCACAGCAGGAATTCCAAGGAGAACAAGTGCTTTTGGGTCCTGTGGTGGAGCTGGATGGGTGCTGCCAGGGCAAGGGCATGACAGTGGCAATCCACATGCCATTGGATGCCCCATGGGGCACTGGCAGCTCTCGAGCTGGTGAGACGATAACTGGAAAATCAAGAGATCCACTTGGAATCATGGTCCTGCCTGTAGTGGGATGGCCCACAGGGGGGATGGCAGGGCAGGGCAGGCCCTTGCTTTAAACAGAGCACCAACACCCAGCTCCCAAAAGGACTTGGAAAAGGGGCAAGGGGATGGGAATGAGGCTGCCAGAACGGTGCATGTGGGGTGGTACTCAGTGCCCTGCAGGACACAGGCTGCTGCAGGGGGACACGGTGGCACTGGGACAGGGGTCCCTGGCACTGGGGGTTGAGCTGCTGCGGCCATCCCCACATGTCCCAGTGGCAGCAGCCACCAGATCTCCCAGGGCACTGGGCCAGAGCCGGCACGTGGGACAGGGTCCGGGGGGCACGGCCCAGCCCCGCACTGGCTGGCCTCTCATTTGTTCTCATTAAGTGCTGGCAGGGTGTCTAATTAGGTGGCGTGAGTGCCAGCGCCCTGCTGACAGACACCTGTGCAGACAGACCTCCTCCTCGGCCTGCCTCGTAATTAGGTTGCAGGATACCACCGAGCCGCCCGGCAGGACCTGCTCATCCTCGCCGGGACGTGGCGCGGCGCCAGGCCTGGGGGCACGGCTGGCACTGCGGCCCCGCGCCACACACACCCTGTGGCATCCTCGGGGGGCATCGCCTCGCATCCTGCTCCACGGGTACCACCGTCCCCTCGCTGCCTGCCGGGAACTCCGGCTGTCCGATGAACAGAGCACAGTCACCCCACCCATCTTTTGTGCCCCCTTGTTCCCCCCGGGCTGTGCCCTTGGTACCTGGGACCCGCGCATGGAGCGAGTCCTGCCTGTCCTGTCCGTGCCCAGCCGAGCAGCTCGCGGGCAGGGGCACGGCGAGGACGGGGTGCCTGCGTAGCCCCGTGAACTGTGCAGGGAGAACGAGCCAGCAGCCGCTTTAATTAGATTAATTGGCTCCCCTTCGACTCCAGAAGAGCTGTCAGGTTGCAAGTGTGTTCCTGCTGTACCTGGCTAATTACGGCGCTGCGGCCGCCGCTCTGCAGCGCTCGCGGCCATCGAGAGCCAGCACCGGGAACAGCCCTGCCGGGCAGGGAAGGGGCACGTGGGAAGGTCTGGCTGCTAAAATACGTGGGGGAAGAGGGTGAGGGAGATCAGGGGGTCCTAAGATTGCTGTAGGTCATGGGGACAGGGCAGAGCTGCAGGAGAGCAAGGGCTAGAACCCTGTGAGGAGCTCGAGCACACGGGAATAGTGTTTGGGGGGGACAGGGATAGCCAATGCTGGGAATGCAGAAAGGCTGGTGAGCAGGAGGTAAACAATGTGCCAGACCGCCCTACACATCCCCAACACACACTACACAGCTCCTCTGAGGATCAGGGCTACTGGTACTCCCAGGATTTGCCAAGCTGTGGGATGCCAGCAGCTCCCAAGGGTGACTCCCAAAGGAAAGTCACCTGCACACATGGACGTGTTTGGAAGACACACCTGCACATAGGGATGTGCAGAGCATCCAGCTGATCCTACACAGCACCTGTGTGAGGCACAGGGATGGGCTGGACCCTCTGTGCTCTGGGGATACCCACCTGCTTGCAGGTACAGGTGGGCATCCCTGTGTGTGCCACCTGCGCTGTCCTGGCATCCCGGAATGGAGGGCACTGGGGGATCCATAGGGGATTGGGGGGGGGGGGTCATCACGCAGCTCAGCAGTGAACCCCAAAGCCCCATCGTGGCTCCCTGGAGTACTCTAAGCAGCTGTATGGACTCTGCAGCCCCAAACCCTACATGACCCTATAAGATCCCAACCTGCAAATCCTGTGACCACAAAGCAGGTCACCACACACCCCTGAGTGCCCTGGGATGCTGCCCAGCCTTAGAGCTCCAGCATGTCCCTGAGTGATGCCCACACAGACCCCACACCCAGCACTGCTGCTCACAAGGGTTGTCTGGCCGAGGAGCCGGCACTGCTGGGAGGACGGATGAGGAGAGCAGCCGAGAGAAGAGCAGGGAGGGGGCGGAGGCATCCTCAGGTGTGTGTGTAGGACACATCCAGTTGGGAGCTTGTTAGCCGAGACA